TTTGTTTTTATCACAATAAACCCCATTTATTTCTTAATAAATCAACAACCAAAACAAGACTCTGAGATTATTAATACAGGCAAAATTTTTATTTTACCAAAAAGTGTACTTTAAAAATTTATTTCTTTAGTTTGGCGCTACACCTATAAAAATACTATGGACATAAAATATTATTGACTTCCACACAGCAAAGCCAATCAATTTCTTAATAAAACAAACAAAAACCACAAGGCTTTACATTTATTTATAAGGGCAGAATAATTTTTTAAAATGTGTAATCAGAAAAATTTATTTTTTTGTAAAACATAATATATAATGAGCGAAAATTATTTTTGTATATACCAATATAAAGCCTATTTATTTCTGAATTTAATACAAAAAAACAAGCTCTAAGTCAATTATTACGGTCACAAATTAATTTTGATTAGAATACCATTCCAGACCACCGTAAGACGTCGCGTCACAAGCGCGTACAGCGTAAACGGTTCGGAGCGTGAGCGGCCACCGCGGTGCACCCACAAAAGGACGAATAACTTTTTGTCAACCTGCGGGCCATTTTTTTTCTCAGCAGCATAATTTCAAGAAATGATTGGAGTATATGTGTTTTTTTTTCGAGTCGATAGCTGGCGCAGAAGCCAATTATTTTCGAATTTGGTATAAAAAAAAACAAAAAAAAATCGACCTAAATGAAAATTGGACAATTGAAAAAAATAACAAAGAATCTATGTCAAAACAAGATTCCAACGCTAGTTATATCGTTGGAATCGGATAATTAGTTCAGCCATAATGAATTTTTTTTATTTTTTAATTATTAAAAACTTGGACTTTTAATATCATGAATATGTCAATTGAAAATTTATTTTTTACAAAATCCTTTAGGATTTGTGTTAGTGATGTAAAATACTATCGAAAAAATGTATCTACAAACAAAAACTAATTTTGACCTTATTCAGGTGGCCCGTTTGAGAAATTCTGACCCAATTGTATTTTGTCATTGTGCCAATGCCATTTTTAAACTATATATGCAGCGCAAATAAAATAATTATTGTTTTTGTTATGGTTATTATTTTAAAAATAATATAAGTAAAATTTATAAACACAGGGTGTTTTTATTTAAATTTGACAACGTAGAGGTTGTAGAACAGTTTTTTCAAATAAATATTTTTATTTGGGCTTTTATTTTTGAATTATCGAACTTCTTTTATTTTTACATTGTAAGGTCCTAAGCTATTTAAATAATTAAATTTAAATTTGGCGCTGTTTTCAAGTTAAAATTAAATAATCCTGAAATTGTTATGTTAAGTTTTTAAAAATTATATTATATTTTAAAACTCTAATACATTGAAAAATCTTGCTGATCTATTCGAAAATCAAAAGATTTGTTGATATTAGGTTGATAGTATGTTTATATTTTGAATTCCGTCGTAATACCGAGGGCGATTTGTTTTGAAATAGGAGGAACTTGTGAGTGAACCCTTAAACCAGACGGTTGAAAAAGTTATTTGGCTAGTTTTGTTTTACAATAATTGTTGCTGTATTTCGGTGTGTACTTTTATTAATAAATTGTTGTATTTTTACAGAAGTGATAAATACTACCTGGCTGAAAGGTTATTTAAAATATTTAATTTGTATTTTAAGAATAGTTTTAGAATAGTTTTGTTTATAACTACAAGTTTATTATTTTATAATTAATGTAACTTTTAGTAATGTTTTATTTGTTTCATTATATAATTTCTTTGTTCACATTCAAATATTTGACACATCTGGGTTTTTTTAGTAGGTCTATTTTTAGATTATTGCCTCTGTTAGATGCATTCTCAGTACCTACATAATTACATTTACTTACAAAAACATTGAAGTTTTCACTTTGTCATGATCTTTTTGAGATTTTGTTGGAACTTTTCTTTAATTTACATTCTATTGTATACAAATTAATTTCCTTCATTGTCTCGTTTATTTGACTCCTCCTTGAATCATTTCATACCTCAATTATTTATGTAGCTCCGTGTATTTTAGTCAGGTATTCGGCTATTTTATTTGATTATGTGCATTTGTACTCAGGTTAAAGTGATTGTTTTTTTTATTTAATCAATATCATTCACATTTATTATTATTACATAATATGATGTTGCTCTTAGGTAAAATCATGGTAATGTATTGGTCTCGTTTAGCCTTTTGATAGTTTCTGGTTAAAGACTTTGATTAAAAACCTGTACGTCTAAGCGCTTTGATTAGAATACTGGAAAATGACTTTTCGTGTACTATATGTTTGTATGTTTTTGTAATGATGCTCTCCTTTTAACCCTCATTTTTTTTATTGTTTTTTTTGTATTTATGTATTTTTTGGGTTACTTGGAGACGGTTCATGTTTGAACATATGAGCATAGGTAATATAAAGACACTATGTGAAAGATGGTGTACGTGTTTAAATATTCTCGCCATAATGCTGTCTTGTTCATCTAACAATAGTTTGAGGATACGTGGTAAGGTAACACTTATGTTTTACTGTCATAAACTTATGACCACTTTTAATAGTGACTTTGCCTGAGTATAAAATGCTTGTATTGTTTATAAAATCCCAAATTACTGACATTGTTATTTCGTTTACGTATTTTGGTTGTTTTATTTGTTTATTTTTAATTCTTGATATGTTGTTCGTTTTGCCCTGTTTATATTGTTTTGTTTGTACTTTAAAAGTCGCACTCCGACTCAACGGACCCCCCTTTTTGTATTTGTTGTTACTTTTAAATTTAAATTAAATAAGGGGTTAAAAAAATTAATACTTGTGTTTTATTTCACCTAATCAATTGCAAAATAACTTTATTATCAAAGTAAGTAAATTCACAACGTAGAGTCCTAATTTTTATAAAGTAAGTAAACAAGTATTTCAGTATACTTAACGAACCTGGTTACAAAGTTATTCGCTATATACATAGTGGACCTTACAACATAAACATTTTTATCTCCGTTATTAGGTTTAGCCGGATTTTAAAAGAATTAAGTTTTTTGCAATTTTTAATTTAATTTCTACAATTTTTGTGTTAAACATTTAAAAAATATATCAACGAACGAATATAAAAATGTTTATGTTAAATCAAAATAAGGTCGATAATTCAAAAATAAAAGCTCTAATGCTTCAAGTGATTCCCTACAACTTCCATTCAATAGTACAGACGTTGTTCAAAATGACAACCGTCAAAATGACAACTGTCAAAATTACAGGTGTCAAAATGACATCTGTTAAAATGACAAATGCCTGAATGACAGCTGTCAAAAAACATGTGCCAAAATAACGGCTTTCAAAATGACAGCTGCCTGAATGTTCTGTCAAAATGACAGGTGTCGAAATGGCGACGGTGCTGAAATAACAGGTGCCTAAATAATAGTTGTCAAAATGACACGTGCCGAAATGACAGCTGTTTAAATTTTCTTAGAACCACGCGAGCAAAGCCGCGGGTATACAACTAGGGAATGAAACTTTTTTATTAATATTAATAAAAGGTGATTCATAACATTTATAGCAATAGTATTCCATATTTGCTCAATGAAACCCACACATTCGTTGAATTACAATTTTTTTGTTTTTTTCTTAATTTGAAAATTCAAATAGCAATTGCTCGAAAACTAACTGACATATTTTTTAAACAGAATCTTATTAAGAATTAAAAGACCTTTAATAAGATATGTCAGTCAAGAACTCAACAATTTATGATTTTGGCGAAGGGGGGGTGGAGCGCGTAGGGGTGCGGGTGGGGGCGTGGATCGTACATTAAATTTCTTCCCCCTAGAAATAAAAATTGACGTGTCCAAGGATTGTTGTCCACGTTTGGGGGGTACAAGTTTTGTTTGGAGCACCCTGTATATTTTTTCAAAATCTGGTTTTTGAAGCACAGAATCTCCAAAAACTAAATTAAAAAAAAAGATGTAATTTATGTACAACTTTATAATGTTAGCTGTTACCTTTTATTATAATTTTTACACATAGCCACACCACAGTTTGCCATTGTAAATTAATCCCACACACATAAATAATTATAAAAACACAATACAAATAATAAATTTAAATATATTAAGACTGTATCAGCAATTCAAATATCTAGTTTTGATTGACGAATGTGACGTACATGCGAGTTTTGAATTCTTAATTTGTTAAATTAAAACAGTTGAACTTTTTAATTAATTTATTTTATAACAATGAATTCACAACCACAATTGGAAGAGAAGTGCCGGTATAATGTGTAGTTCCGTGCGAGGTAAGCTTGGTTGTCTAGTCAGCAGACGTAACTCCTCCCTCCTTAGCTCGAAGAGCGGATTCCAAATCCTTGAGGGTAGGTCTCTGGAGAAACAGAACATGACTAAGGGGTTTCTTTTTCGAGATTAATACTACTCCAACAATTATAGTTAGTATTGCAATAATTATTGTTATAACCCAAAATGTGTAATGGATTTCCTTTTCCAAGTGGATGTCCTCTAATGGCTTCAAATCCAGTTCTGGAGGGATATGAATTTCGTTTAGTTCGGCTGTTCGGGTGGCAATTAGGGTGATGGGTCGAATAAGTGGTATCCTAAGCGATACTTTAGTGCTGTTGATGGAGTATCTTTCTTCATCGATGGTTACGTCACAGAGGCTTGACACGACTATGTATCTGCATTCGGGAACAATGGTGTGTCCTGTACATATTTCTTGGATGGAAGTTGATTTGTACACCAACATTTCGTTTGACTGAAGTTGATATCTGATCGGGTGATGGACGGATGCAGCTAGACAATTTTCTGGTTTTATAAGGGAACATTTCGAAAATATTGCCCCGGTGCAAATAAAACCGTTTGTTCCTTTATGACAATTTTTAAACCATTTTCCATTAGAATAGTAATTTGAAGGTGGAATAATCATAATGTCGTCAGTAGAAGGAAAGGATATGATTTTGTATTATGAAAATGTTTCCGACACTTTTGCAGAAGCTGGCGAAATAACAACTATAGCTCCTCCAGGAATAAAATCAAATCAGGAATACAGAAAGATGCTCGAAGCAGTGTTCTACGACATCGGGTGTGAAATCCACCTCTTCACCCAAAAGAACAATAATAATACTAACACAAACAACACAAAAGGCAGAACGGAGGCCATAATCATAGAAAACAAAGACACTACATACGCAGAGACACTGAAAAAAATTAAGGAGAATATCACGGACATAAATATAGTTAAACAAATAAAAAGAGTTAAAAGTATACCGTTGAATACCTTTTGAAAATAGGGGACATTTTCCTTTATTACGTGTTTGATGACCCCAGGTGGGATACCGTCAGGTCCTGGTGCCTTCTTTGTTTTTAAGTTGTTTGTAGCAGCCATTACTTCTTCATCGCTGAAGTTATCACAGTTTGTATCACAGGTTGTTCTTATGTAATTATCACAGTTATTATCACTATTATTTGGGGTAATGAAGAGGCCTTCGAACACCCTTAGTTTTTCTTCCTTGGTTAAATCTATTTTTGGGCTTATCTTTTTCAGTTGGGTTTTGACTATTTTATATGCCTCTCCAAATATGTCATTATCTAGATCCCTACATAATCCCGCCCATGCACGTTTCTTGGATTTGCCGATATACTTTTTCAGGACCCTTCTTGCTTCTCTGTATTCTTCTTTGGCGTTCTCCCGTTCTCTCTCTGATCTTACCCTAATAACACAAGTATATACTAGAAACATGCCAGAAACATATGCATGCGACAATAGAAACATCCCAGGAATGACCCTATTTTCCCACAGATATACCAGAAATGTTTCTGGCAATGACCATGTCGCCCTTTTTAACGTCCCTCGGCCATCTTTTTGGGATGTTTTGAGATCATCTTAGAATGTTGTAGGTATGTCTTTAAGACATTTTGTATTTACTTTCAGAACATAACAGAAATGTTTCATACAAAACATTTATGTAATTTTTATAGGTTTTTTCCTTTAATAAAAAACATTAAATACTTTTATCATTTAATTAACATAAAACCATTAACATAACCGAAAATACGCATAAATAAAAATAAATAGATAAAAATTTACAAAACTCTTCATCAATGAATCTGCAAAAACTCGTTTGAGACATTTTTGACAAAATCGATTTTTTTTGCATAATTAAGTACTTACCTCATATAATAATGCACATGATTGTAAAACCTCTTATCTCCCAAGATAATCTCAAGACCCTTAAAAACAAATTGATTTGTCCTATATATAGGTATATTTAAAAAAAGCCAGATATGAGAGCTTTTAATGTTTTTTTCGTCTCCTGTAAAACTAGGTACAGTTTTTTTCATACGAGGTTTTGCGGATTCGACGAGTTATTACCTAAAACAGCTTTAGAAATCTTGGATTGGCTAAAATCTTTTTTGCCTTTTTTTTAATAAAGGAAAACTGTTGTGCGACCTGGTCTGAAATAAAATCATACAGGTTATTGCCACCAATACCCACAAAAAAGAAACTAATATAGAATTTAATTATAATAATATTTATAATGTTTTCTTACCAAATCATCATAATTAACTTACCAAAAAAGACGCCTCAGGCCCCCCACACAAAACAATAACTTAAAGTGTACAACTTAAAATTTAATTTAAGTCTTAAATTACTGTGATCACATTATAAAACGAGAAGAAAATTCTCAACACAGAACGTTCTCGATTTTCACGAAATGTCATTCTTGGCAATAAAAGCCGCGAACCTACAGAGATGCCGTTGGTTACAAAACAAAATTCCCCAGGTAACAATCAATTAAAAAATATCTAGTATGACGACATTGTTCGCGGTCAATTTAAAAATTACAAAGTTATTGATATTATAAGAATTTGGTGTTTTTGCTAAATTGATAGGTTATTTTTTTTTTAATAAAGTGTGTTATGTGTTTTGATCATATAGGTACCTATAGGTATATGGTTTTGATATAAATTTATTTAATATTTGTAACAAGTTGGTTATAAAACAAAACAAAATTTCCCAGGTAAAAATCACTTAAAAAGTAACTAGTACGACGTATAATATATATAATAATATAATAATTTGGTGTTTTGCTAAAAATTTATTGGTTATTTTTTTAATAGAGTGTGTTATGTGTTTTGATATAAATTTATTTTATATTTGTACCAATATCAGCTATTTAAAATGTTTATGCAACATCTTGGGGAAATCACACCAGAAATGTTACTGAGGAAACATCGCAGGGATATACGATTTAAGTCCGAAACATTGGGGCATAAATAGTACATAAATTGTATGTTTCTGGCATGTATTGTGTTATCTGGGTAATCTTTGGTGTTTTCTCCTTTTTCGTTTTACGACACTGATCTGCACTTCTATCTCCTCAGTCCACCAGTATGACATTTGGTAGTCTCTATTACATCTTATCTTGGGCGTGCTTTTGTTGAATGCCACTCGGATTGCTGCATCCATTTCTTTCCAGGATGTCGACTCCCCTCGTTTCTGTATTTCGCTTCTGAGCTGTGTGTTCATTGTTTGCAGGTTGGTGAACCCATGCTTGAATGTCGATGTATTCTTTGGTGGGGTATTCGTGATGATCTCCGTCATTGTATAGTTGTGGTCACTCAAGGACGGTGTGTCCAGTACATTCCAGCTTAGATTTCCCGCCATAATCCAGCCATAATCACAGCCGTGATGTCTATAAATGAATGTCCATTTTCTCCCTGAAGGGTCGGGGTATCGCCGGTATTAATCACATTTAGTTCCATTGCCATGAACCACTCCAAAAGAATAGTTCCCCTATTGTTTGACGCCTCTCCTCCCCAGTGTGGATTCTTGGCATTGAAGTCTCCCGTTACAGAGATCCCTTTATGTGTTGCGTAGTTTCTAATTTCGTGTTCAAGTTCGGAGATATATTCTTCGAACGTAGGTATAGTACATTGTGGGCTGATGTATACATTATATTTCACAATGTTCTCAAGCTCTACCCCCACGTAGCAACTTCCTGACATGTGTTTGGTGACTTTTGTGTTTAGGTGTGGGATTAATATAGCTGCGGAAGTTGTTGGGTTGCAGTATATGTTCCTTTTATTTTTGCATTTTTTGATGTTTGGCTCGCTTATTGCAATTAGGTCACATTTATTTTTTTTTGCTGTAAGGACCGCCATGTCGTGTGCGGCCAGGCATCGGTTGGTATTGATCTGAAGTAGTTTAAAGGGCATTTTTTATCGTAGTTGTCCCTTCCTTATCCTTTGCCATCGCTTTTCTGAAGGAAACACATTTACCTGTGCCAGCTGTATGTCCCCCCACTTGACATAGCGGACAAAAGGCGTCTTTTGTACAGTTGGCGCGGATGTGGCCTTCCTCTGCACATTTAAGGCAGAGTTTCGTCCTGTCCGTACCAGTGCAGTTTGTGTTTCTGTGACCGTATTCCCAGCATCTGCTGCATCTTGATAGGTCCTTTCTTTCTTGTATTCTACATATGTTAAATCCTATACGTATCTTCCCCTCCTCGACCAGTCTTTCTGTGTCCCTTGGACTCATTTTAACCGTTGCCGATTGGGTGTTTCCTCTGTTAGGTCTCATAGATTTTACTTCAAACTTGTCCCTTAGGAGGTTTGTTTTGTTAAGGGCACTTATTATGTCTTCTATTGTTGAGGCGTCATCAATGCCGTGTACGTGTATGGTCCTTTGCTTGCTGCCATCGAGCAGTCTCACGTTTAGTTCTCCGTTTACTATGTTTTTGATCTTTTCTTTGATCGATTTGCTTTCTGCGTTGTCTGATAGTGAAATTAATAAATCACCTTTTGTTGTATTTTTTAACTCTTTTTATTTGTTTAACTATATTTATGTCCGTGAGATTCTCCTTAATTTTTTTCAGTGTCTCTGCGTATGTAGTGTCTTTGTTTTCTATGATCAGAAATAATAACAACTGTTTTTGATCCTTCTATTATTTCATAAGGATGAATCTCAGAGATAGGTAATTGGTTTTTCGAATAAATTGTTAATAAAGATGATTCTATATAATTGATTTCGCTAATTTCAAACATTTCTACATTAGAATATCCTAACCGTGAGAATGAAATTATTCTGAAAAGCATTTGTAAATTATTATTTTGTATTAAAAGTTGTGTTCTTGAAAATTCGTCAAAATCATGTCGATATTTATAGGAAATGTCTTTATAAATTTTATTAAATAATGTTATTATTTTATTATAGCGGTCGTTTGTTTCTTTACAAAAAATTATTAGTTTATTTACGTTATGATTAAGGGCATTGTGAGCATCTGTCAAATTTTCAAATTTTCTGTTGATTAAATCAAGATCCGATTGATCTAAATTGCCAGCCTTTTCTGTTGTAGAATAATTTCTTTCAGCAGAATTGAGGGTGCGTGAGTGATAGGCAATGGAAAGTCCTTTTAGGGAGAGCACAGAACCAAGGGAAATGTTGGAGGCATCAGTTGTCAAGGTAAAAGTCTCTTGAAAATCTGGATATTGTAAAATAGGGGAGTTGGATAATGCTTCTTTGCATTTATTAAATGCTGATACGTATTGTTCGTTGTAAATGTCAATTTTGCAAAATCAGATATGAACCTACGGTAATATCTGATAAATCCCAAAAAGGATTTAATTTCTTTAACGGTTTTAGGAAAAGGGAAATTTTGGATGGCTTTAATTTTATTGGGATTTGGTTCCAGTCCATTTTCTGTTACGATATGACCTAAAAATTCTACCCGTTTTGTTAAAAACTCTGACTTGTCAAGCTGTACTTTAAGGTTTGTTTGATTTGATTGATTTGAAGGGGAGCCTTTGCAGGCAGCACTTAGGCACACATACGGCCCATTGTGCAAACCCCCTTTTGGTGAAGCCCTGCCTTACCTTAAAAGCCCGCAGCTTTTAAGAAAAGCGCAGACCCGCTCTGGTCGGGCATGCATTATTTCCTCTGGTTCCAAGTATCTGTCCCCTAGGTGTCTTAGTCTACTATTGACTAGAGCGTCGCATTCGCAGACTATATGCTCGGTAGTTTCGTCTACTTCGCTGCAGTACCTACAGTCCGTCTCGTTGCTGAGTCCGGTTTTGTGTAGGTGATATTTGACTACCCAGTGTCCTGTTAGGACTCCTGTGATGGCTCTCAGCTGGTTCCTGTTGAGTTTCAGGAATCTTTTTGCCTCTTTGCATGTAGTAGGACTCTTTATAAAGACCCTAGGCTGCCTGAGGCCTTGTTGTTCACGCCATTTGTTCTGGAACTGGTCGTTAGTCCAGTTCCTGATCTTGGTTTTTACCAGACAGGAGGCGACCCCTATGACAGGTTCTGGCCCCGTGAAGGCCGTAATGCTGCCCTCACGAGCCAGCTGGTCTGCTTCCTCGTTGCCTCTGATGCCTCGATGACCCGGTACCCAGATAAGGTTAACCTTGTTGAGCACACTGAGTAGTTCGAGGGTTTTGATGCAGTCCAGTGTAAGTCACGAGTTGACCTTTTCCGAGTGAAGAGCCCGGAGTGCTGCTTGACTGTCGCTGCATATGTAGATATGTTTACCCGAGTAGCCTCTCTGGAGATTCTCTTGGGCGCATATCTGGATGGCAAAGATTTCGGTCTGGTATACCGTTGGGTATCGACCTAGTGCAAGGCTTATTCTCGCCCCAGGTCGCTCTCCATATACACCAGCTCCTGCACCTTCCTTCATTAAAGACCCGTCTGTGTACCAGATGAGCCCTTCCGGTTTGAGAAAGCCTGGGTCAGGCTCGCTCCAGTCGTTTCTGGAGGGGAAAACAACTTTATATCTCCTGAGGGGGGTAGACGTCTTTGGCATTGCATCCCTTCTTGTCAGAAGGGGGTCCCGGTTGACAGTCTCAGTCCAGGCCCTTGCATGCCCTGAGTTTCCTCCCCCGTGAGTCCACTGTCCCCAATCATTGAGTCTGACCGAGGCCTCCCGAGCCCGTGCCTCCACAAAAAGATGTAGAGGCGCCAGTCCCAGAATGGCCTCCATTGCCAATGTTGGAGTGGTTCTAAAAGCTCCAATTATGCCCATGCAGGCAAATCGTTGGAGCTTGTCCATCTTCTTCCTGCAGGTGGGCTTGCTTAACGCATTCCACCAAACAAGGCTGCCGTATGTGATCATTGGCCTTATGACTGTTGTGTAAAGCCAGTGCACTATGTGGGGTTGTAAGCCCCAGGTGGGTCCAATGGTCCTTCTCCATGCCTATAGGCTATGAGTGGCCCTCTGGACGACCCTGTTGACATGTTCCTTCCAGGTCAGCCTGGAGTCAATGATGACTCCTAGATACTTGACTGATTCGGATGGGGTCAGTCTTGATACAAAGAGCGTGAGCCCCTCAAGGTTCATGTTTCTTCGGTTGGTGAATGGTACTACTTCTGTCTTATCCGGATTGACGGATAGTCCGTGATCGTTGCACCACCTTTCGACCTTATTAAGAGCTCTTTGCATGATCTCTTTAATAGTGTTTGGTACCCTTCCGGCTACGACGATGACTAGGTCGTCCGCGTAGCCTTGAGTGTATATACCTTCCTCGTTTAGGATACGAAGTAGCCCATCCAGCACTAGGCACCACAGCAAGGGCGATAGTACCCCTCCTTGCGGGCAGCCTCTGGCTACGGTTGAGCTGATCTCCGTAGTTCCAGTCAAGCTTGTAATGATCCTGCTTTCCAGCATGACACGGATCCCTTTGACAATGGTATTCTCTATGCCAAAGTCTTCTGCAGCTCTATTTATCGACTCGAAGGAGGTGTTGTTGAAAGCTCCTTCAATATCTAGAAACGTGCCCAGAGCCATCTCTTTAGGACGAGTCCCTCTCTCTAGTCTTGTCACAAGGCTGTGAAGAGCGGTCTCCGTCGACATGGCTGTCCTGTAGGCGTGTTGATTGGGATGCATGGGAATTCTTTTTAGTGCCCCGTCCCTAATAAATATGTCCACCAGTTTCTCCATAGTTTTTAAAAGAAACGAGGATAGACTGATGGGTCTATAGTCCTTTGCCGTATCGTAGTTACAACGTCCTGGCTTGGGGATAAACACCACTCGAACCTTTCGCCAGGATTGTGGCACGTAGCCCCGTGCCAGGCAGGCTCTGAAAAGGTGTATCAAGTGCGGTGTCAGTGGTTCTAGTCCCTTTTGTAAGAGAGCCGGAAAGATGTCATCTGGTCCCGCGCTTTTAAAAGATCCAAATGAGTGGATGGCCCACTTTATGGAACTTTCTGTCACTACCTTTGCAGCTTCCAGTCAGTCGGCCTTACGCCCGCTGGTGGAGCCCGCCTTGGTGGTTCAACAGTTTGCAGGATTTTTGAGCCTGGAAAGTGAGTTTCCAGGAGCCATTTAAGTGCCTCCTCCGCGGTGGTGCTATAGTCACCGGAGGGAAGCCTTAATGTCCCCAGCTCTCGTCCCGGATCCTTTGAGAGAATCTTTTGAAGCCTGGCGGCTGCTGGAAGCTCGTCTACGTTACCGCAGAACGTCCTCCACGATTCCCTCTTAGACCTTCTTATGAGATCTTTGCACCTGCGCTGAGACTGCTTGTGGCTGTCCCAATCCGCAGGCGATTTAGACCGCATGGCCCTGTTAAAGAGCCTGCGGGTTTCCTTGCGAGCCTTGTCAAGGTCAAAGTTCCACCAAGGGGTTTTCTTTTTTCCTCGATAGACCCGAAGCTGGCAGCTTCCTTCGTACGATGTGATGATTGCCTCGCGTACGAATTCGGCTGTTTCCTCCACTTGCCGAGAGCTGCGGCACGTCATGGAAGAGTCCACTAGCTTAGTCTTTAGCATCTCAACATACTGGTCCCAGTTAGTGTTCCGGGGGTTCCTGAACCTACTGAGCCCAGCATCGTGAGTTAGGTCCAAGCTAAAGAGAATGTGTCTGTGATCTGACAGGGATGGCTCTTCAGACACCTTCCAATTTCTTGTCATCGGGGCCATGGAGAGGGAGCCTAATGTCAAGTCTATCACCTCTTGTCTTCGTGACGTGACAAAGGTCGGTGTAGTGCCGCCGTTTAGGATTTCCAGATCCGTGGTATGTAGATACTCTAAGAGGCTGAGCCCTTTCCGATTCGTGTCGGTGCTTCCCCACACCTTATGGTGTGCGTTGGCATCGCAACCGATGATCAGCGGGAGGCCCAATGTGCTGCAGTATTCCACTATATCTATGAGCTCCTGTGTTGGAGGATCGTCTATCGAGTCATAGGGCAGATAGGCCGAGCATACCACCAAGGATGTGCTCTGTCCTGTTCTGTCCTTAAGGCATAGTTTCACCGCTACTAAGTCCCTAGAACAGAAATTAGCTATTAGTGAGGACTCGATCCGTCTGTCGACGTAGATACAAGCCCTTGGATTTAGTTGGTCGTCCCTCTTGTAGAAGAGAGATATTTTCCATCTACCTAGGCCCCTTACGCGACCCTTGTATGACCAAGGTTCTTGTAGGAGATATATATGTGTCTGCCCCATAGCTATGTGACGATCTATTAAGGAAATCGCCCCTTTGCTATGTTGCAAATTGCTTTGTAGAAATGAGGTCTCTTTATCCATGGTGGAGGATAGATATAGGACCTGATTTCTAGGTTACGGATGGTCCAGCCCTTGTCCCTGGTGGAGTATCCTCTACATCCACCTGAGCCATGAGCTCGGCCACCTCCTTGTCCAATGTTGCCGTTGGATCTGGTTCGGGCGTAGACGTTCCTTCCGATAAGGGAGTATTGCTACTACCCTCCTCGGCTGGAGCCGTCTTTTTCTCCGGCGCAGCTGGAGCCTTTGCCTTCGTCATGAAGGTGACGACGGAGACCCCTGCTAACGCTTTAAGTTTTTGTCGCTGCAAGACCTCGGCTGAAGCCTTGTCAACTCCAAAAACCAGGAGAACCCTGTTCTTCTCCTCTTTCCGGTGGTACGTCCTCCACAAATTTGTCCTAAGACCAGGATTCTGTCTGTGGAGTCGCTTAAGGATGGTGGGGGTGTCGTCTGGGAGACCTTGGACAGCTGCAACCATCTTAATTACCCTGGCAATGTACCGCTGCACGCGCAGTGATGCCCCTTCCCATGGTATGATCGAAGAGATGATCCCCTCCAGCCAGTCCAACGTCCACTGGTCCCCGCATTTAACCGTGATGGTTCCCTGCGACGACCAGCGAAACAGCTCAAACTGTGGGAATCGATCTCCTCCCATCAGATCAATGTGGGCGTTTAGTTTCCCCATGATCGCTTTGCTCTGTTCTTTCGTGATCACCGCGTCCGGATACGCATCCGGCACTATGGTCACCCCGAGACCAGCAGACGCTGCGGCGCTGTACGAAGCAGTCCCCTGGCCTCCCGATTTAACTCCGGAAGCCTTGGGCCTCTTTGCCAGCGTCCTTGCCCCCTTCGACTCAGGGGTGCTTCCCTCAGATCTTTTACGTTTCGTCCCAGATCCTTGGCTCTAGCCTTCGCTGCACCGCTTCTGTTACTCTTGCGAGTCCCGGAAACGGTATTGCCTGTCCCCTTTGTGGGTCCTTGTGAGGTCCCCTCTTTCGAGGAACCCGACACGTCAGTCCCCACTTGAGAGCCTGGCATAGCGGTCTCTCCTTGCGGAGAGCCTTTAGGTTTTATAGGTATATCCATATAATTCCCACGAGTAGTCCGGAACTAGGTCCGCCCACACAGCGCCGGATTGTGTGGGTAAGGCTAAATACAATGGGAGGTCGCGGCCATCCAGCCCTCAGCACGTTGCCTTACACCTTAGCTTGGGCGAGGCTCCTTACTGCAAGTTTGCTTTATTTAATGCCGAAAATATTAGTTTTAAATCATGAATGTGGTCTTGAAGTGATTTTTAAAAATTAATTACATCGTCCATGTAAACAAAACATTTTTGATATAAATAAGGCCTTAAAACTTCGTCCATCATACGTTGAAATAAAGCCAAAGGGCATGCGAACGTATTCGTAGTGTCCTTGGTTGACAGTAAAGGCGGTTTTAGGGATTAATTTGTCTGACATTTTAACTGATGAAATCCTTGGGCAAGATCAAGGCATGTAAAATATTTACAACGTCCTAGATTTTCTAAGATTTCATCGACTCTGGGAAGCGGGTATTTGTCTTCAATTGTGTTCTCATTTAATTTTCTGTAATCAATCACCATTCTAAATTTTTTGACACCTGAGGCATCTGGTTTTTTTGGTACAATCCACACAGGGGCACTATATGGACTGGCTGAAAGACGAATAATTTTTTGGTCTAAAAGTTTCCGAATTTGTTTAGATATCTCAGAACGCATAAGCGGAGGGTGCCTAAACGAACGAGTAAAAATTGGGTTTTCATCTTTTGTCGCTATATGATGGGTAGTAGTGACTAAAGATGACAGGGGTGTCGATTCGTTATAAAAAATATTTTTATATCGCTGACAAAGATTAATAATGCTGTTGTTTCTTCGGAAAGACGTAATTTTTGATACATCTAAGTCGTTATTATAAATCGGAAAACTCGTTTCTATGTTAAATAAGTTCAAGGGGTAAGCGGAGATTTGTTTAGGGGCATTTTCTGTATATGGAATTGTTATAAATCCGTCTTTGACTAAATGAATAGAAGAGGGTAAAATTTCTTGATTGTGAATCGAAACGTTGGGGACGAAAACATCGCCATTGGGAAAATTAACTGCAATTTTAGTATGCTTTGGAGAAAAATAACGGAATTTTATTGAAATATTATTAATATTTAACGTGTGTGTTCGATAGTCAATTTTTGCTTACAAATTTTGAAGATCGCTTGAACCAATAAGGGCATCAAATCTATCATGCCAGGGAATTATGTGAAATTTAAAGCAGTAATTGATTCCGAATTCTGAAAAAATTGGATACTGTAAATTTTGATTGTTGGTAAATGATTTATTAAGTGACTGCACAATAAATTCTTTTTGAAAAAAGTTATTTAAATTAAAATAAGACGCGGCTTGTGGGGTTATTATTGAATTAGTGGCTCCTGTATCTATTAAAATTTTGAGATTAAAAAGTGAAAGAGTAATGAAAGCCAATCGCGGTAAATTTGCAATATTATTTAAGTTTATGTAGCATTCGGGTTCAAATTCACTTCGTAATAATTTTCACACGGCAAATAATTAGCATCAGCATTATTTAGGTGAGAATAAACTTGGTCGGTAGGTAAACCGGGATCGAAATCGGACGACGCGGACATATCAGGTGCGCTTTCGTTCACAGTGTCGTCTTCGGGGCAATAACTCTGGGAATCAAATTCGGTACTCTCGATGTTATACGCGTTATGCCTAAAATTTTGAGGGTGTTTAATGGTTTGAGTTGACATTAGAGTCGGTTTGTAACTTTGATTTGAATATTTGGCGGTTTGGGTTGACATCGGAGATGGCTTATAAAAATATTGTGTATTTGGTAAATTTTTGCTTGTATATGGGCCAAAAAATTGTTTATGTATTGGTTGCGATTTATGAGGAAAAGATTTGTTAAAATTACCAAAGGGTTTTGCGTTATTAAAATTTTATCGTTGTGGTTCGGGGTGACTGACTTGATTAAAATGTGTGGGGGATAGTTGAAAAATCTTGGTGACGGAGAATTTAAAACTAATTGGGGTGTTTTGCTTTTATCAGATTTGGTGTTGCGTAATGCGTATAGATCTACCAAAAGAATCTTCGTTTTCGAGCTCATAACATCGCGAAAGACATTCTTCTAGTGATTTACAATTGCTGTATTTTAACAAATCGCGGTAGGGTTGTAAAAGACCAACTTTATATGTCAACAGTTTTAAAAAACTTCTGTTTTTATTTTAACGATATTTGCATCGCTGTTTTGAATGGAGACAAGATCGATAAGGTCATTTAATTTCTTGTCCAAGCGCAAATAATAATCGGTATAGGTAATTTTCATTAAAATTTTGAATGCATTAGTTCACGTCCTAATGTAGATTCGGATCGACGCTCACCAAATTTATTTAAAAGGTCGGTACGAATATTTTGCCAAGTTTGAAAAGAATTTGGAATAAAATTGTCGAGTTTATTGGTTGTTATAAATGATTTTGGTGGTCCGCGAATTTTGCTTAAAACATAGAGGTTAAATAAATGCATTTAATGTTTGAGCACATTGCAAAAGTGCCTTGAAAAAGATCAATAATTTTGTCCACAGAAATTATGAAATCGCTGAGAGGTGCTTCACCATCGCCATAAATAGGTATAACTTTATAAAATTGTTCAAGTTGCTTATCAGTTATTTTAGGAATTTCTGGATCTGTCATATTTACTTTGTTGATATTAATTTGCGGATTAGTTATAGTAGTATTTTCTAATAATATAATAAGTTGTTCTATTTCTGGATCACTTAATTCCGAAACCGAAATTTTGTTTAGATTTGTTGACATAAAAATTAATAAAGGCAAAAAATAATACTTAAAATAAATGAAAATAAATTAGGAAATAATAAAAGGGATGCAAAAGGAACTACTGAAGGACTTACTTGATTAAATTTAATGCGTTGTTCCTCTCCAATTGGCTCGGGGAACGAAAGGACGAAATTCAGGAGATTGTCCAATGAATCTTCAATGGGTCCTTTGGCAGGTTGAAGACGGGTGACTTTCTTTTTTGTTGTTGATGAGTCCGGTTTCACCATAAATTGTAGAAACAAACCAAAAATTCTAATGATTTTTGTTGATGAGAATCCTGTTTCACAGCGCCAGTTTTGAATTCTTAATTTGTTAAATTAAAACAGTTAAACTTTTTAATTAATTTATTTTATAACAGTGTATTCACAACCACAATTGGAAGAGAAGTGCCAGTATAATGTTTAGTTCCGTGCGAGGTAAGCTTGGTTGTCTAGTCAGCAGACGTAACTTGCGCTTGGCGAACGAAATTTGGTTTCAATAGTAGCATACCATGTTTCCTTATACAAGGTGTCCCTAAACTTGGTGGCATAAATTTAGGAGCAGATTAAGCAAGTCAAAATAAGACGAAAATCTAAATAAATATTTTTCCTAATTACGTATGTTTAAAAGATACAGGGTGATAAAGTGTTACTTATCATATCAGTTTTTTTAATATAACGTCTACTATGGTAGACTTGGAAAGGTGATATTTTGCGAACAGTCACTTACTACCAAAACACATATTTACACATAATTACAATTGTTTGAGTGAACACAGTGTCGTAGAAACAGGGGTTGCTTAATCTTATTGTCCCATACAAACTTTGAGGTTAGGTTTTTATACCATTTGATTCAATTTTTCGATTACTCAGTTCGGCTACTATTAAAAAGGTGTACCTCTCAAACTTCGATAAAATTAACCGTTCTCGAGATATTTGAGATTACAATAATTGTTATATCGCATTAAAGGACGAAAACTTATATGATAAAAAAAAATTTAATTGAAAAAACTACATTTTTTTTAATGTGACGGTCAGGGCAAAAAGTCCCGAGGCTCATGGAATGCCCTTTTTAGTTTTTTCAATTAAAAATTAAAATTTGTTATCATATACCTTTTAATCCTTTTAAATAATGCGATAAAACAATTATTGTAATCTCAAATATCTCGGAAACGGTTTATTTTATCGAAGTTTGAGAGGTATACCTTTTTAATGGTAGCCGAACTGTTTAATCGATAAATTGCATCAAATGTTACAAAAACCTAACCTCAAAGGCCTGCAAATACACTCAGTTAACCAAGGTCCGCTACGCATGACAAGTGGTCACTTAACTAACCATCGATACTTTACGAACATTACTTTTTTCTTTGAATGTGCAAAGTGATATTTGTGAACATATTTAGGTGAGTAAATGCTATTTTATTATTTTGTAAATAACATTAAATACTTTCAATATGTTTCTTTGTATCTCAGTTGCAAAATTAAGACAAAATATTTAAAGTATTGGGTGTTTTGGGCATCATAAAGGGCAACTATTTGTTTTTCAGAAAATATAGGTTAGGTATACCAAATTTTTCTGGTACTATTTTTCCTCATTACAAGATACTTATAATTTTTCTTACACCCCAGAACTATAATTATCAAAATGTAAAATTCTTATTTCACCCAATATCAACGGCTTAGATAATATTTTAATACTACCTGAACTCCAACTGAAATCGTCTCGAGTCTACCGGACACCTATATGC